GAAGTTTAGATGGAGTTACTGGGGAACTTACTGATTTCGCGCATGCGCACTCCATTTTTGCCAACATAAAATCAGGAGAGTTGCGCTACTGTATATACTATGGTCGCACTAAGGCCAGAATCCATATGGCGGAATCCATAGACGTTGCTCAAGATTCGAGATGGTCTCAAGCTGTTGCATGAACCAATCAGAGAGCCGTATTAGCATCTTAAGACCTTAGCCGGAATCCATAGTCCGGTCTTAAGCGGGGAGCACAGACTTTTGCATAACGCATAACATGTAATGCATAAGAAATTCAATCAATCAGAATTCTTTATTTCATGGAAAGGAAGGAAACGAACCGTTTCCTTCCTTTCCATGAAATAAAGAATTCTGATTGATTGAATTTCTTATGCATTACATGTTATGCGTTATGCAAAAGTCTGTGCTCCCCGCTTTATTCTCAAGCAATATCTTAAGATACTAATACGGTTCTCTGATTGGTTCAAGCGCTAGCTTAAGATCTCGAATCTTGAGCAACGTTTATGGATTCCGCCCCTTGCTTGAGATTAAGAATGGACTATGGATTCCGGCCATAGTCCGTTCATGCACTAGCTTAATGCCCGTGTCACACTACGCATTGGAGATTGAGGATTGCGAATTAAGGATTAGAATTCGACCAATCAGGTAATTTTAATTTTAATCCGTTTCGTTCTAATTGACTGAATTCTAATCCTCAATTCGTAATCCTCAGTCTCCAATGCGTAGTGTGACACGGGCATAAGACCATCTCGAATTTTGAACACCGTCTATGGATTCTACCCTTAACTAATAATTCTATGTTCTTAACCCGAATTCTCATACGGGAAACAGCGCTTTGACACTAAGATCTGATTGGTGAAAAGCCGGTTGTAGGGGTAAAATTTATTTCTACAACCAACTTATCATAGGAAGAAATAATGTAATACTACTTCCGCTGCGCGGCAAAAGTTGGATTGAGTTCAACTTTTGTCGCGCGGTGGAAATTATATATCTATTATTTCCGAGCAAGCGAAACGTTGATTGGCTATCGCACCAACTTCCACCGTGCGGCAAACGTTGCCGCGTTCTGTGTGCAGGAGCCATTAAAAGCGTTACAGGAAAAAGGCCGGGATGGCCGCTCTCAGGTTCCTCTCTGATAATATAGAGTAGTATTACATATATGCTTATATGTTGATAATTGTCGATGATATACACCGATAAATACGTCTACTAAACTAATAAATCATAAAATTAGTATGATATTATCAGTTTTTTACTCTTACTTCAATATTAACAAGAACGTGAATTCCCGTAAAGGTGCAATTTCATGGGCGCGTCATTTGTCGCGCGCGTCGCGTCACTTCAGAAATAACTAAATTCTAGTGACTTCTAGCATTGTCACGTTTGACGCGTATGCAGTTGAATTTATCCAACTGCAAAAGCGTCTTGTGTTTTGTCGCATGTTTTGAAAAATCGCGGAAAGTACTAAGAAGTGAATTGTTGCTTTATATTGATAATGGAATATTTTGATAATGGAAAACTATGAGAAAATCGACATATTCCAAGTCTAGTTACTTCTAAAATGACGCGTGACGCGCGCGACAAATAACTTGCTCATGAAATTGCTCCTTAAGGATGTCGGTTTTTAATAGTATCTCGTCGATGTCACTATCAATAGGGTCCGTGGATAATTACAGTACGATGATATTATCGACAATTGATACAAATTTACGATTATTAACATAATTTTGATATAATATTCATGATTTTTTATTATGTATATAAATGCTGCACATGTATGCATACTTGTAATAATGTAACATCTTATACATTGCATAATTACATTTAAGATTTCAGTGTATTCGGTGAGCCGCGACGAATGCTGCGGTGACCACAACAAATGAGAATGGATTAAATTTGATTGAAACTTTTTTTTTATTTAATTTGATTCAATCCAAATTCGATCGGATTTAATTGGATTCAATTAGATGCAATTTGATTAAAAAACTACATTTCTTTTCCAGAATTTTGAATCGAGCAGTATTCATGACGCACAGAAAAAAAACATATTATTTTTAAATTGAAAGCTTTTATGTCAAGAAATTGGCATAAAAATGTACTTAATGCAATTCCTGTAAATGAATAAAAATGCATTCCGGATTGAAAAGGATTCATTTTAACGTTCGCAAATGTGTATTTCTGAACATTTTAATCCATTTCAATCCATTCTCTATTACAGGATAATCATAGGATAGAAAATTAATGAATGTAATGTGTTCATGTTTTTTTCGAAATGTAAAAAATAAACTTCAATTAATATTTTTAAACTATTTTTTTATAATAAGCCCTTATCAAAAATATAATGATGTAATTCACATAAATATATTAATAAATTAGTTATAATTTTATTATATATTCTATAAAATTCCTTGACATATTGACAATAAAATCGAGTTAAACAATGATACAAAATTATGGAATTTAATTAATTGATACAGTCAATTTTAAAATCTGTTTTTTCTCGGTATTTTCAAATAGGATTATAGCGTTGTTTATAAATGGTATATCACCACATATAAGGAAATTGTTTTGAAGCTCTACAGCTTCTGCTGTGAAAATAAAAAAAAAATAGTTTCGTAAAAATATTTCCATAAAAGTATATTTGAATTATCATAGAATATATCGTATTATCAGGATTTTGATATCTTTCTATATTTCTATTATTTTATTGATATATTTATATCTGGACAACTTGTTGACTAGATTGCATATTTCGTTCTTTTTATGTGACGGCTAAAAAATTTTAATAAAAGAGATCAGAACAGTTTTCGTATGATATTGTATATCGGACACAAATGTCATCATATGATATTACAAAAATAATATACATTATTTAATGTGTAACACTAAATATCCTGATATATATTCGTAGGTAATTAGATAAACTTGACATTATAAAAAGACTTGATTTTAATCGGTGGAGATGGAGACGGTATTGAGTTCTGACGTATCACTTTGCGCAATGTCAGCTTTCTGTATACATGTTCGAATACACAAATACAGTATGTAAACACAATACAATATATACAATATACAGTGCATCACACTGAAGTTTAATGATTATCCGAGTGATACGTATTTAAAGAATAAAACAGAGGGAAGAGGGATAGTGAGGAGACACGATCGGGGACATCTGGCTTACTCCTCCAAGTCCAGGTCCCCCAATTCTTCTTCCAAGCCTTCTAGGTCTTCTTCCACGAAAAGATTTTCATTAATGGCTACAGCAATAGCACCCTCATCCATAGTTGCTGCAATAGAAATTAAATATTAATTATAACAAATAATATAGTATAATAATAAATATGTTTATTGCCTGTGTCTAATAAAAATGTAAATTCTAGCATTCAGAAATGTCGTTTACACACAGACATATTTAATGACTGTACATAATTCATTTTATATAAGTTTAAAATAACAAATCATTTATGATTTGTATGCTTCTTAGCTTAAAGTATTTTGCCAGCGAATTATATCACCGAACATATTAATGTTAATTGATATAATTGCAACCTGTAGTATCTTCATTGTTATCAGTAGTATTGCTGGCCTTTAACCGATCTTCAGTCGCCACCGTGATACCGTTAGTATCGATTTCGCTAGCTTCAAAAGCAAGGCGGTCTGTATCGAGTTCCCTATATTGTATATCTTCAGACTCATCTTCTTCACGAACATAACTAGATATTGCTTCATCTCCTTCGTCGATACCTACATTTAAATAACGTTGGTATTAAATAGTAATTAAGTTAGTATTAAATAGTATTAAATAATTAAGCAATAATAATTAAGCAAAATAATAAATTCTATGTTAGCGAAATTTTAATGAGCTGTAACGAGAATTTACCATCTCCTGCTGCAAGATCTGGATTAAAGTAAAACATTTCTCTTCCTGATATACCGACTTGGCGACCAGCCTTATAGTCACTTCGTTTCTTCTCTTCATCCTTGATTGCTTGTTCCTGTTTCTCTTTCAACTTTCTCTTCTTCCAAGCCAAAAATGTTTCTAGTGTTATCTTAGTCTGTTGAAAATTTTTATTATATAAGAAATATATAATCTTAGTATACTGTACTATATTCTTTATGTAAAATTTATTTCTTTCCTCTAAGAGTTTTACATATTTCATTGACAGTATATTCATACCTGATTAGGTCCTAAATTGGCTCTTTCTGTTTCTATTAGATCTTCTAAAGAAATCTCATCCTTCTTGTCTTCCTTTTTCTTATCTTTTTTCAAGACAAATCCAGGAGGTAAAGCATGCCTATAGATACATTTTTGACCAGACGGACATTCCCAAAACCAACCATATTTCGATTTCTCTACTGCTTCTAAGAAGTGTCTGCATATCTAGTAAAAAAGGGATATCTTGTTTCATATTTTCATAAATTGAACACACTCAAATGATTTCCTACAGTTAAATTATTATAATGCTATTTGTACAGCTTACAATATCAGTAGTTGGACGACTGCCACTGCCATGTTTCTTTTCCACAACTTCTTTTAGCTTATCCTCGTCCCACTTATCCATTGTATCCTCCTCCTTATCATCATCTCTCATATCACAATATAAAGATCGTTTTTCAGCTTTCCGTTCAATACTCAAATCATGCGAAAATTTACACCTCTCTCCTTTTGTACATTGTCCTTGCTTAAAAAATGCACACACGACAGACTTGGGATCTATGCCTATAAAAATTATTTTGTTGTATTTTTTTACTTAAAGATCTGTTTGATATTTGATAGCTTTCTATTATTGTCAATGTATTCAGTACCTTTATCAATCTTTTGCGTTTGAACAGGTTTAAAAATAAGAGCCAATTCCTTTTGCTCCTTTAGCTTCTTCTCCTTTTCCAACTTTTTAGCATTGGGATCCTCGACTTTGCGAGGATTTACGCCACCAGATTTCACTTGCTTTTCAACTTGCTGAATAAACTTCTGTTGCTTGGCACCCTTCTTGTTTTTTATACCAAACGTTTTGTCCTTAAAAGAGAAAAGTTCAGATTTCAGATAAATCAAACTTTGATAAAGTACATGTTAAAAAATATAACTAATATAAATTTATTAGTTTCATATATTTATCTAAAAAACATGTGGAATTTCAAAGTTTTTGGTTAGACTCAAAAGGTGTCCCCTACCTCGATAACTTTTTCCTTTTTCTTTTGATCCGCTTTTTTACTCGGCGCCGGCGCCTTTTTCGGGGGCATTCTGTCAACTCGAGTACTTCACCTTGGTGACAGATGATGCCTAAAACTGTCCGAAAAATTTTAACGATAACTACTACACCTTCGCTTACTTCCGAATGTACTGTACTGAAATCAACTGCATCATCACGTTATTTTGAATCAAAGTGACAACCTTTGCGCGACGAAATTTAATAAACAAACAAAATTAATTATATTATAATTATTATTTATATAATTAATTGTTAATATTAAGAATGATATCAAATTAAAAAAAAGGATTACCTAAATAAGATGTTTTTTTTACTACATAGCTTTTGATTGTCAAATTAATCGTTTTCTTCTTCCAGTGACTTTTCGTTTTTGCATGGGTGAATGGCAAACCTACCGAGATTGCTTATGAATTGTTGCTAACTTCACAGCGCCACGTTGTGCGAGATGCCCTTTCATTCGGCGTGATCAGGCGCGATTACGGTGAGGTGATCGTACGGAGTCAGGTTTGGCATTTACGAATTGATTGACGTTAAACCGAAGACGCCACAATGGCGAAATTCGATTTAACGTCTCGCATAGGTCAATATTTGGACCGCCACTTGGTGTTTCCTCTGCTGGAATTCCTGTCTGCGAAACAGGTATGGAGCAATAGCCGGGCGTCGCGACGTCGTGGCATTTGCGTTTTGGTTATGTCACATGTGGTGCGTTGCAGATTTACGACGAGGATGAGCTGTTACATGCGAAACTCGACATTCTCAGCAAGACGAATATGATTGACTACACCATCGACATCAGGAAGCAGCTTTATCCCAATGTGGAAGTACCAGAGGTGCGTTTCACCGTGTAACGTGTGTGTCACTGTTATGTGATTGCAAAAGAATTGATCATCATGGAGATTCAATTCCCTGTTACATATCCAGATTGTGTTTATTCCTTAGTACACGTAATGGATCATTCATGTTCTACGTTTCTTTTTTAAAATATTAGGTGCATTTGGCTATATAATGGTCTTTAGTCTTTTCTTTTTTTAATTAATCTTATAAATACTTTCTAAAGATGTTAAAATATATGTAAGAATTATTTAATTATGTAATAAAAATCACTTTTTTTATATTTGTAAAATGAAAATCAATCCAGATATGAACAGTTGTAGTGAAGAAAATAATGATTTTATTTAAGGGTTAAATTATAAATTAACGTAGCAATGTTGCAGGAGATAAAATCCAGACGTGCTGATGTATTACAAGAGCTTGGCGTACTTCAAAATAATGTTTCAGTAGTGCTTGCTCTTATGAATAACGAGGAAGTTATGAAGAAAATGGAAAACATGCGTGATTCCAAAGCGCTTAATAATTATCTTACTCAAGAATCAGATGTAGGTAGAACAGTTATTATTATGTTAGATAATGAAATTTTTTATTTAAGTATTCTAATAAGATATTACAAATATGAAAAATTTGTATTGATTTAGTCTTGCGTTTACAGTTTAGGGTAGAAATGATGGACAGCTTTGTGAAGCTGGCAAAGTATCGCTATGAGTGTGGTAATTATTCTGTTTCTACATCATATTTATACTTCTATATGCTGATTATGCCCCCTACTGATAAGGTAGTGCCACAATTTTTTTAATTACAAAAATTAAGTACAATATGTTTTATGAAATTATTTATTTTAATATTTGTATATGTAATTTCTAGAACTATTTAAATGTTTTATGGGGAAAATTGGCATCAGAGATTCTTGTACAAAATTGGGAAACGGCGTTGGAGGACGTGAACAAATTGCGAGAATATATCGACAGTAATGTTATTGGCAATTCGTTGCAAGTATTACAGCAACGCACATGGCTCATTCATTGGAGTTTATTTGTGTTCTTTAATCATGTAAAGGGAAGAGATCTCATTATTGAGATGTTCCTCTATCGGCCACAGTATGTATAATTTATTAAGAAAGTATTTAACTTTTTTCATATACTCGCGTGTGAGATGTCCAGGATACCTCAGTCTTAAAAATTCACTAAATGTATGAATGCTATTTATACACATTACTATATTTAGTAGAAATTGTTTCACAATTTAAAAAATTTTTTTGCATTTATTTTTATCTATAGGATATCTATAGAATATTATCAGTCTTTATTTAATTATAAACCATTAAAAAGAACAATAAAAATTAAGGTATAATGTTAATGATATTTATGAAAATTATAAAATTGTAACCTTTCTAATACATTTTTGCAGTTATTTAAATGCTATTCAAACAATGTGTCCGCATATACTTCGTTACTTGGCTGCAGCAGTTATTGTCAATCGTTCTAGGCGGTCTATTCTGAAGGATCTCGTAAAAGTAATACAACAGGTCAGATTTTGAAATCATTGTTTTATAAGACATAAAAATTCGTGCAAATTTTTTAAGTGTAGATAATATATCTAATTTAAGAGAATAAAATATCTTAAAAAAGGAGAATATTCATAATTAAACTTTTGCTAAAAAAGAATAATAGTTTAAATTTGTTGAGAAATTTATAATAAGAAGGAACTGATATTTTTTATATTGTATTATTGAAATGTTTTATATATATATTTTTTTAAATGTTATTTTTATGTATGTAGGAATCTTATACCTATCGAGATCCCATCACAGAATTTTTGGAACATTTGTATGTTAATTTTGACTTTGATGGAGCTCGGCAGAAGTTGCAAGAGTGCCAGACTGTCGTCTTTAACGATTTCTTTCTAATCGCTCTACTGAATGAATTTGTGGAAAATGCACGGTTGATGATTTTCGAAACATTCTGCAGAATTCATCAATGTATTAGTATCCAGTATGTAATTTTTTTGCATCATGGTTATAAAAACAAGATTTGATTAATTATTTTTTTATTAGTTATATATTAATTATGCATACTTCAGAATCATATTACACACACACGTATACATACATATATTTATTTTTAATTTTTATATTCATAGAATGCTTGCGGAGAAACTAAATATGAAGGCGGATGTTGCGGAATGCTGGATTGTGAACTTAATTCGTAATGCACGTTTAGATGCTAAAATCGACAGCAAGTTGGGACATGTAGTGATGGGTGGACAGCCGGCGTCTCCATATCAACAATTGGTTGAGAAGATTGAAACATTGAGTGTACGAAGCGAGGCATTAGAGAATCTAATTGAGAGAAAACTAAAAGCGAAGAATCAAGACCCAGTAAGTATAGTGTGGAACTAACAGAGGTCAGTATCATTCACAATCGTATTGCGCGTATATCATTTGGTTCATTTAACGCAAAAAACATTGCAGTAGACATGAGAAAAGTAAAAGTGAAGTAAAGTTATGCATATTATAAATTAATGTTAAGTATGTAATGGTATACAATAATTTATTTATGTGTCTAGTTATATTTAATATCTAATTAGATTTTTTGTATGTCTTATATATTCTTTAATTTTTGTACTTCTAATATATTATTTTGATGTTTGTCCATACACACTCACATTTGTGGAATTTGTTATTCTTGCCAATCACACTAAAACTGAAATGTTTTGTTTCTTTTCATATTGCTTTTTACCATTACATGTAACCATTACAAAGTGTGACATTTTAAAATGTATTTTTCTTGCATATAAATTTTAAAAACAATTCACTTTTGTTTCAGTATCACTCGTGGAACTTGGATTTCTGACAACTCGATGCAACGTGGAGGAGTAGTGCCCAAAAGAGATATTCCACCTCCGATTATTAACAATAATCAGGCTTCCAAATGTAAAGAAATACTTCATAAGTGACATCATGAATCAGATGTACTTATTTTTATTCGCTGTCAGTATCTTGGAATTGTCAAACTATACTATAACAAATAATGAACAACCAATAACATTTTATAAGAGAAAACATCGCATTTATTTATTGTATACTACCGTTTCCGGACATTGTCATTTCTCGTTATTTTAGGTATATTTAAGTAAATAGGTATTTGATTATATTTCAAAAACAATGATTTGTTAATTACGATTATATTTGTTTTGCAATATGATAAAATCATCTTTGATTTAGTTCACAATCAGTGCTACGGCACAATAAGTTTAACGGCTTAAAACTTCAAAAATTTTGCTACGTCTGACAAATTTTTAGGGGTATATCCTATCCTCATATACACATCACATTTTTAATTTAAAACTAGAAGTCATAAATTATCCTATCGAGTATCCTGTCTTTTATAGAATAGTTAATAGAGAGTATCAAAAAATAAAAATATTTTATTCAAGGACTCTAGAAAGGGCTGTTATATAATTTTATTAGTTATAGAATTTTGAAATTGGCAGTTCGATTGTAATAACAGCGTACTAACTTGAAATATAGAATTATAACTATTTATAAGCATAACTAGTTATAATTATAATAAATATGTCTTAAATATTATTTAAGCATATATATTACGATTCTTACACAATGTTACGAGATATTATTTTGATGCGTTTTGAAGATCTGTTACGAAAGTAAAAAGTTACATCCCGTATATCCACCGCAATCAGTACAATATGTTAGAATGCTCCTCCAATACGGATCTAAAACGAGTAATTTCGGATTTCCTAGGATAATAAGTAGAGCACGAGCACGAGTAATTGCGACGTTGAGTCTATTGGGCGAAGCAATAAAGCCTAGGGAATGCTTGACGTCATCATCAACTAAAGTGTTGCACGATCTAACAGCCGAAATAATAATTACTTTTCTTTCTTGACCTTGAAATCCTTCCACAGTACTGATTTTTGGTAACTTAAGATGTAACTCCAACAGCAGATCTCGAATTTGCATCACCTTGAAAAAAATGGTTTTCATAGAAAAGGAAGAAAAAAATTTAGCTAACAAATGATAGAATTTTACTTAAAATACTCATGTATACCTGTTTATAATAAGGAGTTATAATTCCTATATCATCCGGTTCAAGTCCATATTTATACAACTTCAACAAATAGAGATATACTTGTGCAGCTTCTTCGGGATTATACCAGCTTGGACTCTCGGAATCTTGGTAGTTCTCACCATTAACCCCATGAAAGATTATGGCTGGTGGTGATCCCTCTTTCTTGGGTAGCTCTGCTCTCATCATTTCCAATAGTTTAGCTTCCTCACTATTCTTAGA